CGGGTTCGTGGCTCCTATCTGGTTTATGGGCTCATCGCGGAGTAGACCACCATTTCCCAATCTCAACAGCACAGGGGATTTGACTGCTGAGCCTTCGTCATCGATTCCGTAAGACAACCTCCTCCGACTCCGACCCCGTCGCTGAGCAATCAGACGGCCGAGCCTTTCAAGTTGTATGAGTTTGCGGATGTGTGCAGTACTCAGTGCTCAAGTGACATTGCATTCTCAGATCAGAGTCCTTCGTCCTATCAGCCATGGCGAAAGCTCACACCTTTGCATTCGTGTTCCCCATGGCCTCCGGCCATATCAATCCATCCTTGGGTGTTGCTCGATGCCTTGTTGAGCGGGGCCATTCCGTGCACTACATGTGCCGACCGCAAATGCAGGCAGCGATTGACGACACTGGTGCCAAGTTCCACTCCGAAATTGATGTGCAGCCGGAGCTCTACGTTGGCAGGGAGCCAGACATGATTGGCGCAATTGCCTCGCTGCAAAATGAGTACGGGCTCACCAGCCAGGGCTACGTCCGCGGGCGCATACTTCTGAAGGAGATCATGTCGGAAATGATGCTCCCCGGCACGCTGCGCTGGTTGCAGGAGATCGGTGCGGATGTGGTTGTTTGCGATCCGCTCATCAGCCTGGAGGCATCGTTGGCTGCCCAGCTGGCAGGTCTGCCATGTGCGAGCATCCTGACCATTGCTGGGCCAGGTGCTGGTCAACCTGCCTGGCAAAACATCCTTGATGCTGCCGGACTGACGGTGGAGCAGATGCTGGAGCAGCGTCGGCAGTTTCAGCCTTTAAGGGAATGCTTGCAGCGCCTGAATGCACGAGGTCTTCCCCTTGGCTTAGGAGACACTCTGAAACCACTTGGCCTGCTCCCTGCTATATCTCTGAGCCAGTTGACCATCGTAACTACTTGCGAGTTTCTCGCCGACCCCTACCCAGCCGACATGCGCGAGGCCTACGACGGGGCAGGTGGGGTTTCCGAATAAAGCGGTCGGAGTGTCCTGTTAGATAGTCCTGAGCTCACAAGGAGTCCCATCAAAACAAGAGACTGCAGGTGCCAACTTCGCATTTGTGGGCCCCTTGCTCGACAAGCCTGGTGCCAAACGGGCCGCCGGCCATCGTTTCGATGCCTCTCTCCACAAGGACAACGAGCATACCGCAAGCTCTGAGCAGGATCCAGTGGAGCTCGTTCGGGATGCACGCAAGGCGGGTCGCAAGGTGGTGCTGGCCAGTTTGGGTACCATGGTGACTGGAGACAACAATGAACTGGGCTGGAGGGCTCGTCCGGTTGTAGAAGGGGAGCCTCGGGGCCTCACAGGCAAAGAGCTTTGCCAAGCAGCCTGGGCTGGAGTTTTCGATGCCTTCGGTTCCGATTCCTCGGCTGCTCCGCTGATCCTCGTGGCTTTGGGCCCCCAGCCCGATGCCTTGGATGAGATGACGGCCCCACCCAACGCCTTTTGTGCCCCTGCCTTGCCTCAAGTGGACGTCCTGCGCGCTGGTGTGGACGTTTTCCTGCAGCACGGTGGTCAGAACAGCTTCATGGAAGCCCTCTCCACCAGTGTCCCCATGGTCGTGTGCCCCGGCTTCGGCGATCAGATTGAAAATGCAGCCAAGGCAGAGTCGCTCGGCGTAGGTCTCAAGGTAGACCGGCCGATGGGTCCTGTGGACAAGGCAGCCTCCCAAGCCGCTGCTTATCGTGAGGCCGCTGCGGCCTCTCTTCGGAAAGTTCTCTCGGAGCCTTCTTCCTACAAGGACAGAGCCCTGGAGTGCGCCAGGAAGCTCGAGGCCGCTGGCGGCGTGCCCCGGGCGACGGAGCTTCTTCTGAAACTTACTGAGGACAAGGCCCCAAAGGCCGAAGAGGGCAAGGGGCAGTTCCCAGAAGCAGTGGCAAATCACGCAGCGAGCGTGGCGGCTGCCGGTGCATAAGGGCATCTGTGACTCTGCATTTTTCACCGTTTCTCCCTATCCCTGCAATAGGCAGGGCACAGTTGAGTGCCACTGTAAAGAACCACTCTCAGACAGAGCATCTCCACAACACTTCAGCAGATTGCGGGCTCAGCACACCTAGGTTTCAGCTTTCCACGTTCGTTGCACCGGCCCGGCCCGACGATCTTCTGAGGCTCCGCTTTGCTGGCTCCGAAATGTATACAGAGGCTTCGACAAGTGTACAGACATGCCGCCGCCAGTATCCGGAAGCACGAGCAAAACTGCAGAGGCGTTTTGGGAAGGTACTGTAGTGGCCGTTGAGTGGATTGTTCGTTATTGCTCCGTGTCGCAGTCGAACCTATCGAGTGTCCCTCTGAGCGGAATCGCTTAAACATTGTAACATGTAGATCTGGTACTCGGAGTCAGTTGCAACTCCAGTCCCAGCACAGCCATCGCCACCGCCAGCAAAATCAATAAAATTCATCATCACAACGAAGGCAATAAGACTGCAATAGCCGCCACCACAGACAACGGCTTTACCACCTCGTGTACTACTTCAGCCAGGATACGTTTCCTTTTGCCGACCTCTTATCGATTCTGACGCCTCAGATTGGCAACTGGGGGTACCGGCGATGTCTTAGTTGACGGCCCCGGCTGAACATAGCGCCCATCCTCGGTCCGGGCTGACTCTATTCGCGATCATTCGAGTCAATTCTACCCCTGGAGCCGGCTGCTCATCCAACCCCAAACCCAAAAAAACACTTGTTGATTCTACTTGGGTACGTTTAGTGGGAAACATTCTAGTTGGTGACGAGCAGCTTTTGCTTGCTGACCTGTAATTGTAGTTGACATGTGCCACAGATTGCAACAGTGCAACCTGACTTACTGCCGCATTTCCGCCCATTGCGGACCCCGCCTGTGGGCATAGTTCTCAGTCATGCAAGAGGGAAAGAACCCTAATTTGTCTCAGCCATGCGAGAGGGAAACACCCAAACCTTTCTTAAACATGCTGTCAGTAATGCAAAGTTCAGAATAAAGAAGAACAGCCATGCGTTCTCGGATTGGTTCCTGCAGTGCCGGCAGGTAAACCCAGACAATCCGGATGCTAGAAAGAAGATGCCCATGTCTCAGATCTGCCACCAATACGAGCCGAAGTCGAAGGTTGAGCCGAATTTGGCACTACGCGTCCGGCGTCAATTTGTAACTGAAGACCCTGTCACACCGTGTCCGGCAGATTGCTGTGCACTCCACCGCTGTCCAACACCGTGACCTGCTCTTCAGGATCCAGCTCAAGGCCCAAGAGGTGTGGAGCACTCTATGACTCTTATGCATCTCATACCTGAGTTCATTGCTGTGAGATGTTCACTGGAAGTAAAGGCAGCAGTAGAAGCTTGCTACTGCCAGCACGGTACATGGCTTACCAGGTATCGTTGAACACGGAACGGCTTTTTTCTGTCCTCGGGAGGCCGACCAGCGCAAACGTGAACGCTCGCTTTTCGCAGGTTTGCGTGGAGTCTGCAGCGCCCTCGGCCGGGAGCACGTGCCTGTGCTATGTCTACGTCTGAGGGATCTCAGAGAGAATGAAACGACGTCGAGGCAGAGGGATCGCCCTTTGGGTACCGTTGGCCGTTCAGATATCCGGCCAGCTGTAGTGCATTTCGCGGTTCGCTTTGTGGACAGCCGAGCCACAGGAAACTCTCTCGGAATGCTGCGTCCGACTGAGGCACCTCAGCTGGCACCGCAGATTGCAAGGCACCAAAGACAGTGCCGGAGCCTGCGGGGCCCGACTCTTCCGATGAGGACGGACAGACTGCGGAGCGATAAGCCATAGCCCGAGCTCTGCCAGATACCGAAACGATGCTAGTTCAGATGTTTGCGCACTTCTGCAGGCTTTGCTCGACAAAGCAGTCTGTCTGCCTGCGAGACTTGCGGCAGGAGACTGCCGTGCAATGTGGCGAAGACAGCGATGTCGAGGTGGCATTGATCTTGCGTTCTTTCACTCAGTGGACGGTGAGAAACATGATCAGTAGTCAGTAGTCCTTCAAAGGTTTGGTTCGCCTTTAGACTTTGTGCAGACTTCCAGGAGCTGACCCCCGAACAGGAGAAGCTGCTTCAACAGGGACTGCCGGGGCCTCCATCTGCCGTTTTAAAATTCTGGAACTTGCGTTGGCAGAACAGCAGGCTCAAGATGTCGTCTCTCTGTAAGCTGGAGCTGAAGGCATTGAACGTGCCTGTCCGGCCCAGGACAGACCGGGAAGCCTCTGCACGACTGGTGAGCAGCGCTGCGCTTAGAGTAGCAGAGTCAGAGACGACATGCTGTGAGTGCCACGGCTCCAGACCCCACGACCTCCCCATCAGCGTCCGAGGTCTGGGAATGGCCACCAAGCAGGGTCCAGCAGACCCGCACTTCGTGCAGCCATCGAACATGTGACTTGGCTGGTCTTCGGACCCGGAGCAGTCTGCGTGGTTGCAGGCAACAGACCTCCTGAGTGTTCCCACAGCTCTGGGTTTGCCTCCTTGGCCCGAGGACTGTGGGTCCGGAGGCTGGAGTCCGATCAGAAGACCGGGTGCAGACTTCTTTGCCTTTGATCCTCTCCATTTGCAGTATGTGCGAGATAAACATGTTGGGAGTTGGAGCTGAGGATTCACAGTCGTGGGACGGCAGCCCTTGTACAATCTTGTGAAATAACCTGCACGTGCGATTGGATAAGAGCTTTGAAACGCTCCTGCGAGGTTTTCTGGGCGCCAGAGAGCTTCCGAGGCAAGAATGTGAGGAGGAGCTTGGCAGAGGAGAGCTCCTAAGCTCAGCAAACGGTTTAGAGCTTAGAGTTTAGAGTTGAGGGTTTAGGGTTTAGGGTATCTGCTCAGAAGCAGCAGGTCTTCAGGAGGGTCCACGGCAGACCTTTCCTGCACAGCAGTGTTAACGAAGCTCGCCATGCTTGGCCTGTGTATTCAGCTAGCTCGCCGCTCATGGGGAGATGTTTCGCACGGAAAAGATGGGAGAAGGTCAGCACTCGTTTTGCGCCACCAACAGCAGTTGGAGTATGCACACTTGCGAGATCTGCTCGGAGTTGCAGTGCCAAGTGCCAAGCAGTTCATCACCCCTGATCGGTTTGACCCGCATGTGCGCAAGCAGCTGTCTATGTGGATCCAGCAGCGAATGCAACTGCATGGCGGTTGTAGCACTTTGAGGCACCACAATACCGGCTCTTACATTCACATCGTATCGACATGCTCAAGACAGCCAACCTTTTCAAGGCGTCAGGTATGCGGCTCTGAGAGAAAGAAGCTCGGCCGTCCGAATGCCTCGGCCAAGACATGTTCTGCTAGTGCGCTAAGCACTACATGCATGTACAGAATGCCCATGGCGCACCCAGCGCAGTCGAGTCGCCAGTCCTGGGGGCGTGTTTTAGGCTGACGCACGTTGCTTGTGATTAGGATCTCTCGCCGGATTGTGTTCCCCTGTCATCTGCTCAATGGTGTTGCGGTTTGTAGGAATCGCACTTTCTGTTTTGCGGCCGACTTCGGTTTCAGGATACCGCGACATGTTGCAAGGATGGCTTTAGAGACAGTTTTGAAGGGAAGGATATGCGGCTACAGCGAAAGACTACCCTTGCTCCCCGTTCCGAACAGGTTTGTCCTCGAGAGGTATCAGCATAACCGCTCAGCGCTTTTGCGACGTGGAGCCCTGAGTGACCGTATCTCATCTCCGCGAAGATCGCAGCGTTCTCAGGGTAATCTGTTTGAGGTGACGTCGCTGTACTTCGCCCTGGATGGGTCCAAGCTCCGGCCTATTCAGGCAAGAGTATGTGCAACTGTTTCGGCGGAGCTGGGTGCTGAAAACGTGGAATCTGTGGCAGGTGCCTTCACCGGCTTTCCTGCTAATGTCGTTTGACACCGAGACTTGTGCACGAGCTTGTCGCGCACGGCTTGACGTCATGAAGTCATAGATGTGGGCACAGCATTACCCTTGGAGAGTAATTAAGGCTGGTTGTCACGAGCTTGCTCATGGCTATCACGATGCGCTCGCATTGGTACGGCCCTTTGCTGTGCCTCGCAGGGCAGAAATGGGGCCGGTCTGAATCAGGACCATGACTGGGGTTCAGATAAAGCCTGTCATGATGACTTTCAGGAATGTCAAGCACTTGAGGTCACAAAGTTTTCGTTCCTTTCCTAGGATGCGTCCGTCATGCCAGTTGCGCCGCCCAGCTGCACGGCTTCCCATGTATACATATCCTGCGGGGCTCTCTGTGGCCAAGGCTGTTAAGGGTGGCGTCAAGCTTACGTAACACGTCGACTTCCCCAAGTATCCCGAAGTCTGAAACACGTCACCAACGGGACCTAAATGATTTCGGAACAGCACTGGCCACACGCATATCGTTTACTCTGCCAGCGCCTGTAAGCGCAGCACCTCTGCGCGCCTTGCCACCTGTTTCGTTTGCCATACCTTGTTCTAAGGTCGGGCCTGCGGAAGAACAAGTCCTATGGCGGCAAACTAGCAGCCGTGAGCTTGATCCAGCTGACTGCCATTTGTCAGTTGTGCGTTTGACGGTGCACCAATGCCGCAACAGCTGCTGTGCTTTGGCCACAGTCCGGACAGCTTGCGCTTCGTTGGCTCCAGCCGATATTCCAAGGAGTTCCTGTCCGTAAGAAATGTTTCAATCTTCCTCCTTGCATCCTAGGGCCCATCGTTTGCCATCCCTTCGTAGGCTTGTAGAAATCATTTCTTCCTGTTTGCGTAGCTGTTCTGGCCACTTCGCTTGCGTTGCCTCCGCCATGGCTCCTCAAAAGAGTCAGACGCCGAGACCGAAGCCCCACATCGTGATGCACAGGAGGATGTAAAGAAGACATGCTGTCCTTGAAATGTCACTCCAAGCATTTAACACGGCAAGCGCGTCATCGCCAAGAGCCTAAACTGGAAGGTCTTGTGACCATCTCCCCGCAGCATTCCTCTGTCAAGTAGAGGGCAAAGAATAAGATAACCCCAATACCTTAAACATGTCCGTTTGGCCTCCTAGGCAAGGCGTCTGGCGCCTCAAAGAGGACACCTGCACATGTGATGAGCATACTTTCAGCACAGAAGTAGGGCAGGGTTAGCAGCGATGATGAGGCCAATCATTTTGATCGTGGCAATACTGGCTCATATTGGTAGTAATCTTGGTCGGCATAGTAATTTTGGTCACAGCACACACTACTTAATATTGGTTGTAGAGGTAACAGACAGAGAGGTACTTAGTAGTCGTCGTCGTAGTAGTAGTGGCGGTGGCGGCGGTGGTGTTAGCAGTGGCAGTGGTGGTAGTACCAACAGTAGCAGCACACATAAACAAAGAAAAACAGCAATGACGTGCAGAATTTTCGATTGGAGGGTGCTGTAGGATTGTTAACTTCCAGGCTTTCTGACGTGTAGTGGATGTCAGCACTTCGCAGGAACCCGCGCCCGGCTCCTCAGCGTGCACGCAAGGCAAAGAAGGTCAGCATGCGCCCGTCTTCTGTGAGCTTTGCCTTTTTGCCTGTTCACCTCCGCCTTGGACTTCGGCGATGCCGGGAGGTGGCTTTGAGCAAAAAGCCTGGATCGAAACGCCCAGAAAAAGGGCTGCTGATCCGACAGCCGCTGCTTGCCTGCACTTAGGATTGAGGATTCTTTTCAGGACCGAGTAGCTGAGTAGCTGTGGGAGAACTCTCCATTCCCGCCGAGAAGGATGTTTGAGGAGGGTGGCCACGCATGCAGTACAGGTACGGATTGTACTATATATCGCTATGCAGATAGACAAGTAGCAACAGACCCGTAAACAATAAAGAAGTAAAGAAACAAGAATGAAGTTGTGTCGTGACATATTGGGGGAGGGGCTATCGTGCATCAATTGCTGGAAGTACGCATCGCGTATAAAAAAGCTTGATTGTTGCAAGCACACCTGCACCCGCCACGTTGCCGGGGTGCAAGTTTTGCATCTGGTTAAGAGCCTTAATTTTGGAACTATGTAATTGGAGGCCAGAAAGATATCGAAACAGCATTGTCTGCAGCGAATCCGGAATGTCGGCTGGTTCTCTGCACTCGTGTAAGCCAGACGGCGAGTAGTTGCATCCGAGGGCCTAGAGCAGGTTTCGCCCATTGGCCTGTGTTGTGTTTGGCACCAGCGTCCGCATGGGCCTGATATAAAATTGGCGGATTTGTATTCAACTCGGCTCTTGATAAATGAGTTCATAAGACACATATACGAAGACAAGACCTCACATAGCTGACATAGAATAGCCCTCGCCGCAGCCGAGGTGGATTGCCCCGTTCTCAGGGCTTGATGCGACAACGACCCGTTGTCTCACTGTGGGCGTGCTTCTTTAGCTGTTCAAGCCCATCGGAGAGCTATGCAGCAAGCGCCGCTCTTGATATCATGCACCATCTACCGTGCCGAGCTGAGGACAAGATCCTCAAGAAGCAGAAAACCTGGGAACTGAGGATGGGCACCCTTGATGCTTCACCCAGGGACAGCCGTTTGACATCTTGAAGACATAACTCATAGCAGGACCAGCGCATTTATCATGTTGAAGTTAACATGTGTAAAGTGCTGGTGAACTTTAGCATGATTAAAGTGCTGGCCCTGTCGTGACCTCGTGTCTTCGGCACATAGCGACAGGAATCGGCCAACCAACATCCGCGGGTCCATTGGTCTCATGGAGGTGGCGTGTCCAGGGGCCACGTCAGATGTGCTCGTAGTTTTTCAAGTTCTAATCAGTACAGGTGGAAAATTCCCTTTCCTGCACATCCCTGGCAACGAACGGTCGCAAAGGATACTCGTACTGAGTACTGTGCGAAAGCTGGCCATGTTGGAGCTGTATGGGCTGCACGCCGAGAGGCAGCTAGTCGAAATAGGCTGCCATGGCGGCAATTGGCAACTGGCAAGCGTCGCCAGTTCAAGCATTGAGGAAAGTGGAGAGCGGACTTCAGGCTGGAAGACAAGCAGGACGTGCAAGGCTGTTGAGCTATCGGAGTTGATATCCTTGTGGCTGATGTGCCATGCAGTAGATGCACGGTATAGGTTACGGGTTCCGAAGGAACGTTGCGTATGACTCATCATTGCTTGTACCTTCTTAGACTACGAGCTTCGACTGGTGCTAGGATGCCCTGGGCGAAGCTGGCATCCCTCACCGGGCAAGCTCGACAGACTGTCAGCAGGTGTCCTGGCATTGGCCTCGATTGGAGCTTTGCGAGCTAGACGGGCCAACAAGGCGGGTCCAATCGGTGGAGTGTTGCAAGGCGCTGCAAGGGTGAAGCCCAAGCTTTGTCTCAAGCTTGTTGCAGGTTGCTCTGGCTGCTGCTGGCCCTCAAGGCAGGACCGGCGAAAGACACCAGCAAGTGTGCTGTGAAGCATGGGTCCTCCAGGCGTCTTGCAGCCTGAGTGGGCTGCCGCACTCCGTTCTGGCAAGGCACCCCGAAGCAGCGGAGATGGCTCTGTTGGCCCGGGTTCGGGCCCACTTCGTTTTGACCTCATTGGAGGGCCCAGCGAGGGAGAAAGCGAGCTCATGCTGTGGCTTGGCATCAGAGTCGTTTCGGAACAGCGACTTCGCAACAAAATCCACCTTTGGCCTCTCAAAGGTATCTGTCCGACATCGACTTCACTGGGACGGTACCGGCGGTGCAGTTTCCCAGTCTCGTGGACAGCTTCGAGCCGAGCCCCTACTGGACTGATTCGAGTCTTGCGAAAGGCCTTGAGAGATAAACTACGATGAATCTTCGTGGACTGCTCTCGGGAATGTCCAAGCGCTACCAACTGTAGTAACACAAATGCATGTCGTCAGACGCCACTCCTTGCAAGCTGACGCGTTCCCCTCTTGGTTGCTTATGTGGCGTTGCCAGCTGTTGTTTTTGTTGCGCAAACCCGGAGCCTGGCGTACTGGACCTCGCAATGCGGCGCAGACGAAACGAACCAGCTTCAGACGCCGCATCCGCAAGCAGAGGCCTAGAATGGCCTAGCGACCTAGTGTCTCAAGCTCTCAGCACTTTCCGAGGCTTTGGCGATGCACTCTACCCGCAGAGGACCGGAAGACCGGCTTTGCAGAGCTGGCTCAGGCGGTGGAGGAGGGGAACTGCAAGCACCGGCTTGGATTTTTGTATGGTTATATGCGGCTAAGCCGGCTAAGCGAGTGCTTTGCGAGTATTTGTGTTTGCATGGAGGAGTGGCTGCGCCAGCAAGTTGCAGAAGGGCGCAGAGTCGTGCTCTTGGGCGATGGCTTTGGCGGCCTGCTGGCCCTCGCGGTGGCTCTACAGCTTGGCCGGGCATTGAAGGGCCTCGTGCTCGTGAACCCTGCCACGGGCCTCGTGCAGAAGCCTTGGCAAAGCCTGGGTGGGGCTCTTCCGGTGAAGCCTCTAGCGGAGTTGTTGCAGGGAGCTCCTGCAGTTGGGGGCCAGGCGAGCTTCGAGCATGGCCTCGGAGATTTGATCGTTAAGGCAGCCACGAGTGCAGCGGGCTTCCGGTCGGCTGCCTTGGCTGCTCGGAGTGGGACGCTGGACTTTCGGCTCAGGGCTTGGCTTCGAGACGGCTGGGAAGCTGTGTCCTGCGACTTGCGGCGCCCGGCCAGTCGAACTTCTCTGCCGGCCACCCTGCTGACATTCTCCAAGGATGACGCGCTGCTGCCCTCCTCCAGCGAAGCAGGCGAGCTCCGAGGGCTACTGGCAGAGCGCTGCCTCACGGGTCGGCTGCAGCTTAAGGAGCTGGAGAGCAGAAGTCATGAGCCCTTGGCCAGCGACATCGACTTTGCAACGATTGTGAAGGAGTCCCCAATCTTTGCCTACAAGGATCCCGTCACAGGTTACGAGTTCCCAAGCTTGGAGGAGCTTGAAGAGGGCTCCAAGGGCGTGGAGAGGATCGCCTCCGTGGTCTCCCCGGTCTTCTGCAGTTTCGATGCTTCCTCCCCTTCCCTGCGATCCTTCGGTTTGGGTGGCGTCCCCACGCCGGCGGAGGCCGGAGATCGTCCGGTGCTCCTGGTAGGCAACCACCAGATCGGTGGTCTGGATCTTGGGCCGCTGGTCCGGGAGTTCCTGGTGACACGGGGCGTGGTTGCCCGAGGCCTCGCCTACCCTGGCGCGATGCGTCGGATGACGACGGAACGGGGACCTTCACAATTCCAAACCTTTGGTGCCGTCCCGGTCTCACCTCGGAACATCTTCAAACTTCTGCAGCAAGGAGAGATGGTGCTGCTTTTCCCCGGCGGTGTGCGAGAGGCCTTGCATGGTCCGGGGGAGGCCTACAAGCTTTTCTGGCCAAGCAAGACGGACTTTGTCCGGGTCGCCGCCCGCTTTGATGCCCTCGTGGTGCCATTTGCTGGAGTTGGGGCAGACGACAATGTCCAGGTCCTTGCAAACTCCAGAGAACTCCGGAGTAAGGCAGAGGAGCTGCTACCCTTCATGGCACGCAGCCAGCCGAAATCTGGTGGCCTTATGCCGGTCTCCGAGTCCCTCGAGCCCTAGCCTGTTCAGCTTGCGATGGTTTGGTTACCAAAAAAGGTTTTTACTACGATTTCTTATGCCAGCCATCGGGATGAGCATCCTAGGAGGCGGGGATGAGCGTTCCGTTCATGGCACCGCCACTGTCGCTGGCAACACAATCAAGCCCGGGCATTGGGGATCGCTTCTACTTCAGCAGCTTGGTGCGAATCTTCCTTCCCCTTTACCGCCCCAACTTTGTCGCACAGAGGCCGTGAGAAGAATTGGCAACCTAGGCTTCGGCAAGCCCGTTGACTTGAAAGACGTGAGCCCCAAGGCATCACCTTGCTTCTATTTGCAGCAGAGACATTTCGAAATGTGAGCAAATGATGGTCATGACAGGACAAAAGCGCTTGCAAGAAGGCTTACGCCAGCATCCGCAAAGCCGTTGAGCAGGACCTCGCTGCGTTCGCTTGCTGGGGTGGCTTCCGCGGATTTTGTGTAGAATCAGTGGGCCATGACTGTTGCAAGCAGTACCGGCAGTTGCCTTCTATGTCTGAAATTTCAAGGAGCCGAGAGAAGATTGCACCACAGGGGTGTTCAATGCACTGTCGCAAGAGTCGGTAAGCCCTAGTTCATAGCAGTGGGGCCAGAATGAAACAAGACGTGTCCACAGAAGTTCAGCATGACAGGAACTGGAATGGCTGCAGCAGGCACGCTTGGAGGCTGTGGATGGGGTTACGGGGTCAGGCTTTCCAAAGCTACTCTACTACTCTATAGTTGTTGGGCCCAGAGCCGATCACTGCGACAATCGGCGGTCGAAAATGAGATAACGAAAGAGCGACCAGGAATAAGTAGCCTATGTAGCCTCCTCCTAAACACGAGGAGGGAGGACGAACTGTTGCGGACCGGGGGGGTAGGAGCTTCAGCTTCAACCCACCCCAAGCAAGCAAGACAGCGCCGGATGGGGGTGCCTCTCGCGAAAGATCCCAACATAGAGGATTTGGGTGTGGACAGTAGCGCAGCGGCCCCGATTGTCTATGCCTTGTGGAAAGGAAGACGCAGTGTTTTCCGCTGGTCATAGCAATTCTGGGAGGATCCCTTCCGCGACCTGCTCCGACGCCAGCTTTTCGAGCGCGTGGCCAGCATCGAGCCCTCCATGCGGCGCATCCCGGAGGGCCCCTTGGAAGGCTGCAGCAGGGGTTGTTTCGGATGTTGGGAGGCATCGTGCAGTGTGGGAAGCTTCTGAAGTCTCAGTTCTGCATCTTCGTTGGAAAGAGCTGGAAGTAGCATGCTGGCAGGCCAAGTCGTGAGGACTTACGCCAACCGGGCGCCATCATTTCCGGTTGAAGACCTCCCACCGCCACAAAGCGATTTTGTTTGTGACGAAGACGAGGAGTGAACACAGTAGTAAGTACCTGTCCATCCGTGATAGAAATTCTGGATTCCAGTTGTGCGTCTGAGCGCTTGCGCATTGTTTTCCTTGCAGCCGATCGCGACGGCTGGTTGGCAGAGAACTGGCACTAGGGGGTTCTGATAGACTACCTAGATGACCCTCTATCTCAAACTCTTTCGACTGGGTGGTGGAACTCGCAAAGGTGCCAGTCTGCAGATCGTTTTCTGCGCTAGCCAAGACGGGGTGGCCAACCATTCTTGAGGATGTGATGGATGTGGCAGAAGGGTCGAACGCCTTCCAAGCTTGTTACTGTATGTCGTTTTGTTAAGACGGTCTGCAGACCGGTGGAGGCTCCCCTGGACCGTTCGAGTTGAGTCTATAAACTTCAGGAAAAAGTTTAGGGGGGTTTGATTGGTGGCCTTGGCTTGGAGATGGGCGCACTCGAAATTAAGTGCTTGCTTCAGAATTTTCCACTGCCTGCAACGCTGGCATGGTGCACTCACGTTGAATTAGGGCCAGGTGAGTCTGCGGTCCTAGACTGGGCCTGCTGTGTTTCACTGTCTCCCGACACCGAATCTCGAGCTCGAGCAAGATGCCCCCTTCGCTATTGAATACTTTGGGGATCTCTTCTCCTCTAGTGGGGCATTCGAATCTCTCAGGTGGGGTTAGTGATGGGAGAGGTTCACATGAAGAGTCCTCTCCGTGGCTCATGCTCAGGTTTTTGCTGGCTTTCTGAGACATTGACTAGGGCTGCCGGTGTTGTGGGGCCTGTCTGACGTCATTGGCGAAACCTCGACACTGGGCCCGGAGACCCTAAACTCCCAAGAAGCCCTAAACCCACCACCGTCTCAGCTTGTCTGTGAAACCTTGCCGGACCTGGTCGAAAGAGCTCAAACCGAGCGGGAGCCAAACAACCCAAACCCAGTTCGACTTCGGGCTGTACTACCTACGTACCGATCTATCTTCTACCTATCCATATATCTACCTATCTATCCGTCTAGCTACCTATCCCTCTATCCATCTATCCATCCATCCATCCGTCCATCCGTCCATCCGTCCATCCATCCAGCCATCCATCCATGCAGACATGCAGCCGTCCAGCCATCCAGCCATCCATCCATCCATCCAGCCCTCCAGCCATCCATCCATCCATCGATCTATCCATCTATCTATCTATCTATCTATTTATCCATCTATCTATCTGTCTATCTAGTCTAATCTAATGTATTCTAATCTATATAATCTAATTTACTTATCTGTCTATCTGGCTATCTGTCTATCTATCTATTTATGTATCTATCTCTCTATCTATCGATCTATCTATCTGTCTTTCTGTATATCTGTTGTTGGTATGTGCGTTGTATTATATTGCCATGGAGGTTGGCTCGTCGAAGCTGGTGGGACGGGCCGACCTCGTCGACTGCTTCCTGCTTGGCCGACGCGTGAAGGACCGTTTTCTCCCCAGAGACAGCAGTATACGTTTAGGGTTTGCGGTTTGGGGTATATTCGACGGACTCTTCTCACGAGTGAGATGTGCGAGAAAGGCAGTTCCAGATCATTTCGGCGTCGACTCAGGTTGGGTGATGAAGAGGCACCTCAAGAGCCTGACACACACCTTCAAGAAACACCGTTGCCGGACTCCCGGAGCTTATTTATGTGCACAAACTGCACGTATGTCTTGTCGATGCATGCGAGTGTGGGTTTGAACATGCATGAACTTCCGATTGAACATAGGGAAGGAGCTTCTGGTCGGATCGAGCTGGACTAAAGTGATGGTCAAAGCAAGTCAAATGTCGTGCCACAACTTTGTGCATAGTTCGTTCGCAATCCGGATCCGCCGATGTATTCCGTGATTTCTGCACCGGAAGTGTGTTGTGCTTCATTCGCAATGCAAGCATCAGGCCGTCCCGAGGACGTTCGAAAGATCGGCTACACCACGTGCTGACCTGAGCTTCCGGCTTATGCTCCGTCAGATGAGGGTTTAGGATGTAGGTTGATTGAGGGCTTAGGATAAAGGGTTTGGATGGGATTGCCTAATATATCATAGCAGGACCGGAGGGATTCCCGTCGCACACAGGCGCTACAACAACGTAACTCTCCGAGGGTTGCTGGTATGATAGCCCCACTGTCCTAACTTGCCACGACTTGCCCATCTCATCCTTGGTTTAATGACATCTTGAGTCCGAGAATGTGAGCGGCATTTGACCTGATGCTGAGGCTTTATGCCTGGGTGTTCCGAAGAGCTGCCGGCTTCTTAAGCCTCTTTCTGCCAAGAATCAGAGAAGCTGGACAGCCCTCAAGTTGAGTGGCCCTGAGAGTTTTGTCATCTGCAGGCATGTTGCAATGGTGGTCTGTGCAGCCGTGCAAAGGCCAAGTACTCCAAGCCGGTCAGCCAGGAGCTGAAGCCAGGCCTGGGCTAGACATGACGATGGATGGCCTTGGGATCTCTGCCAGCAACTTGTCATGTTGGTCACTGACGCAAGCACTACCTGATCATGTGTGAGGCTCTATGGTCTGGTGCGATCTGAGAGCTTGATCTGGCAGTGGCAGTGCGACATTCCAGCGTTTGCCCGCTTTCAGAGGCGTTGCCTCTGAAGCAAAAGGCAAGTCGCATAATTCAGAGCAATTAAGCTAGATTGAGGGCAGGCTCTTCTGTGCCTGTCATTTTCCGGACAATTGGGCGATCCACTGCGGAAGTTTCTCCATGCACCCTGCAGTGTGCCTGGAAGACTTCTACTATTGCCAGTGGCTGTGTCTGCAACTTTCCATTCTAGATATATAGATTCGAGACCTGCTCGTCGAGGCAGAAGGTCCGCTAACCGGCACGACGGGGAAGGCAGGGATGATCCACCCCTGGAGCCCTTTCCCGACGAGCCTAGCCCCGCCACCGCTCGAACAGGCAAGAAAAGCAAGCGGAGCCGTACAGAATGCGAGTCCAGCAGCTCTGACCCTCACTGTAATTAGTACTTTGTCCGCGGCGCGGCTTGCCAAGGGACTTCTATGACTTACAACAAGCATTCGCAAACTGCAGCACCATCGGCATGTGTCCTTGAAGTAATCGTTGTGAATCAATCGCCGACGACCACGACGACGCAGTGCTGGCCAGGGAGAAAAATCAGAGTGATTGTGCCAATCTGTTGGATGGAACAGCAACAGTGCCTGCCACTATTGACAAGTGAGCCCAGCTACATCGAGCAACAACGCGTGCAGCCGCACGATGCCTTCGTGGAGTTTGGAACCGCCATGGCAGTTCAGCATTCAGTTCTGGCCGTCACTCTGCACGGCGCTTGCGTGGCTGCCCAGGCGAGCTCTCTTGCTTTATTTGCTTCAGTTCTGCTGTCTGAAAGTGCAAGAGTGCCATGCTCTCAGCCCAAAGACTGAAGTGGCGCGCACCAAATTCGCAGACCACCGCACGGGCAAACCTCGCCGTTCCACCCAGCTCGGAGTGTCGGAATTTCCGTCCGGCAAACCCTCCAAGCCCGGAACCCCGTCTGGCTTAGTGACTAAGTGACTCTGGAATCTGTTTGGCCTTCTTGCAAAATCTGTTTGGGCTGGGAAAGTTTAAGTCTTGACTCGTCCTGGTAATAATTCGATCCTCAAGTGTGAAAGTCGAAACCCTAAACCCTCAAATCAAGCCCGACAGCAGACCACACTTAAGCCATCTCACCATCTATACGATACTAGATTGAACTTATCGAACTCTACTAGAGCATACTTTACTTCATCTAGTACTCTATAGTATAAAGCAACTGTAGAATGTCATGTTTCGCCTACCGTACCATATCAGAACATTGCACACTATAGTCGCCATATCAAAACATACTACGCCTTTAGTGTAGTGTCGAGTCACATTTTGCTGCCATGCGCGAGCCAACAAAACATATTACACCATGAGACCAGATACAACATACAAAATACCACATGCGATATCGTGTGTAACATAATATTGAAAGCATGGTATAATATATGTATAGATAATATAGAATACATTGCAGTCAGCAAACATACTTATCATAAAAGGTGTCGGAAAATACTTGCCATATGCTACATAGTATATAACTTATATAACTTATAGTTTGTAGTAAAATGTATAATATCTACTACAAAACAATACGCAATAGACAGCATTGTACAAAATACAATGTGTAATATACCACATATGATATATGATATATATATATACATATGTATGTATATATGTATGTATGTATGTATGTATGTATGTATGTATGTATGTGTATATATATATGTATACACACACACACATATATATATATATTATACATGTATATATATATATCTATATAATATACAATAGCTTATAAGAAGGCATATCGCATAATATGATATCAAGTATTGCAAACTCAAAGGCGACATAGCATGACATTGTAAGGAACACCATATAGTGTAAGAGTATAACACAACATGCTACATTGCGCTGCTTTTACCTTACATTATATTGTCTACACCTACAGCATACAAATTGTCGCGCAGTATATATATATATAAATATATATATATATAACTATAACAAACACAAGACAGAGCCTACTATAACACAACCTCCTGTGAGGTGTTCTCTGCGTCGCTCTTCCCGCAGCTGCCTGACTTGGCGCCACTTTCCGAGCCCAGCATTGCTGACTTCTTCGGCCTGGAGAAAGATAACTTCCCGCAGCGGTTGGAGCGCTTGCGAGAGGTGCTCGTACGTGTTCGACCATGCAAAGATGACCATGCTTCTCTGCGCACAGACTCACAGACATGCACAAAAACTTGTGTATAGTACGGATACAAACATTCCGTCACACATACATACATCCATACATACATACATCCATGCATGCATGCATACATGCATGCATACATGCATACATACATGCATTCATGCATTCATGCATACATGCATTCATGCATACACACATATATAGTTGCATGCGTGTACAGCATGTCGGCAGGCAGGTAGGTAAAACTCATACACATGCTAACACACACACACACCCACACCCTGTGTACATATACATATATATATATATATAGATCTATAGATAGAGAGAGAGAGAGAGACAGAGAGAGATCGTTGCAAGAAGCGAAGGGTCCTCAACATGCTCTACGTGGCACGAGCACGACTGGAGGACGTCACTGATGATGATGGGGTGGACGGCTTCAACCAACATCAAATCAGGGCGGACCTGGAAGAAGCCCTGCGAGACGTCGACAGAGGGGCCCAAATGTTCGAGCAGCTTACTGCACAGCAATGGGGGGATCAAGTTCAAGAGGGGCACCACGGCATCGATCAGGCGAGAAGAGCAATACAAGCTGCGCTCACCGACACCGTACAAGGCGACCTTGATTGGGTCACCCCAGGCTGGGGGCAGGCGATCCGGATGGTGCTTCAAGAGGCTGAGGAGCTCATCGACGAGGAGGGCCTCCTTGACTGCACGCACCCTTCGGACGTCCTCGCTTTAGACGAGGGGGCAAATGAGGCCCCGCCACAACCACAGGGGGACACCTACATCCAGGTGGACACGTTGCTCCGAAACGTGGGGGGCGTCGCACACTTCCTTCGCAAGGGGAGAGAAGAACTGCGGCGCTTCATGGCAGCTGTGATAGTATGGAGGCAAGCCAACCACGCCATGGGGAGCATTGCCGTCGACACGCAGAGCACGCAAGACGCTGGGGAGCCGGGGCCGGGGGAACCTTTGGGGGGACTCGTCAGGCGCAGCTCCGGGCCCGGGGCCGGGGGACCCTCGGGGGGACTCGTCAGGCGCGGGCCAGCGTGCAAGAACGGGGACACAGCTGATGGATGCAACAAAGTGGATACCGCCCCTCAATGCGGAGCAATGGTCGGGGAGCCTACCGACGGAAGACACCCAGCAAAGTGAGCTGGAAGAGCCAACTTTCCCGACAGACGACGAGTTGGTGCAAGCCTTGGAAGAATGTGAACGACAAGCCGAAGAAGAAAGACTGCTGGAAGCGGGGGAAGAAGGGGGAACAGAGGACGCGCAGCCAGACTGGGAACCGGGGGCGAGCACACCTGAAGGGCCTGCAACCACTGAACCGGGCGAGCATAGGCGCAGACGTTTCCTTGCTGCGACACTAGCAGACTCGGGGGATGGGCCATGATGCAGGGGTTATAGGTTCCTCCTTGGGTGTAAGGGGATCACAGTTTCAGCAATGCTTAAACATCATGGCCTGGGCCTCAGATTTCCTTTCTTTAGTGCTCGCCAGTACAGAGTCATGCTTGCCATATTTGCCATGTTGCCTTGGTTAATTGGGGGAACGATGCACGAGGGTAGTGTATTTTTGATAGAGTGCGAGCTGACACCACAGAGCACGTAGCCAGCTTTCAGACGAGGCCGGGGGTTTAGCTACTTAGGTTTAGGGGGTTCAAGAGTTGCTGCACGGAGGCCCTCATCTGAAACAGAAGTCTCACCTGAGACCGAGACTATCAGGACGCGTTCGCGCGCGGGGGGGGGCCCGTCAGCCTTCCCTTTGTCTGTGTTGAAGAAGAAGAGAAAGAGAGAGAGAGAGAGAGAGCTACCCTCCTAGGGGGAAACCCCTGGCCCATAGCCCTGGCGAAAGAAAAAGAGCTACCTTCTTTTGCCCCGGCAGAGACAGAGATGTGTGGAAGAAGCGACAGAGAGACTGCACTGCACTCTGCAGTGCAACTACCCTCCATTTGTCAATATGACGGATGGGGTTGCGCCAGGAGCGCGGGGTGGCGGGACTGCCGCCATTTCAGACCTGAGCAAAGCAACGCCAAGCAAAGACTGCACTGCGCTTCGCTGGCACATGCATGAGGGCTCTATACCGACCCAAAAACCGACTTGTATTGTTGGTTGCCATAGGGGCACGGTGAAGAGGCGGGGTTGTTTCGGTGAAAAATAGTGTACAGGGAAGGAGGTGACAACTCGAAAATTGGGACCCACTTTGTTCGCCTCCACAGTCAGGAATCCCCCACTTTGCCGACCACTGAATAAACTGCTCCGTCGGTCCAAGTGCTTGGGCGGGTCGCATGGGACCCCTATGCCCGGCAGAAAGAAAGAGAGGCAGAAAGAAAGAGCGAGCGCGGGGTGCAGGGTTTAGCTACCTTCTTACCTTGCGAAAAAAAAAGAAAGGGAGAGAGGGAGCGAGGGCGAGAGCAGAGCCTTTCCCTCAAAATGGTGGACGGGGTTGCGCTGACGCGCGGGCTAGGGGGACTGCCCCTATAGTTTTAACCCCTAGCAAAGCAAAGCCAACAGGGCGAGAGAGAGCGAGAGACATCGCGTTGGACGGAAGGCAGAAGGGCAGCAAGCCAGTTAGGCGTGACAGACTTGCACTGGCACTTCTTGCAAGACGGGTGTCCGCCCGCCGGAGAGGGGAAACGAGATTGCGGGGCACCCTGCTTCTGTAAGCTCTGCAGAAGAAGAAGAAGGGACAGGTTGCTGGGTTTCTTGTTGTTTCCGCATTGCGCTCCACACGGTCCAACTGAAAGCCCCAAAGCAATCCTCGCAAAAACACAATGGCTGGGGCTGGGGTGTGCTTAAAGCACGGGTTTAGGCGCGGACAGAGCGAGAGAGAGGAGAGAGCTGTGCCCGTACCAGCGACAAGATAGAAATAGCTGTGCAGAGTGGCTGTACAGGTGACATACCTCTTCGCGATCATTTTCACATCTCAGTGCCTTGTCACGCAGAGACAGCTCGTGTTGGCTTTCAACCTGGACGGAAGCCTAGACTGGATCATAAAGACTGTTACTCCGAGGTCTTTTGAAGTCACGAAAGCTAGCGTTGCGAGGCTTTTGCTTCTATCTACGTAAGCAGTGCATCGCCGGCCCACGCACAAAGAACTGTTTCTCTATATAAACAGCCCCCTCTCCCCTCCGCTCCTCACTCCCTCCCACATCCCCCCCGCCCTCCCCCGTGCTGATTTGATGATGATGCCACCTCTATTTCCTCCACGTTGCTGATGTGGTTCTGGTTGCATGTGAGCATGCCTGGACCCGCCCCTCGCCAGCTTTGCTTCCCCTGCGTTGCTGATTGCCCGCTCGTCAGCTCTGTTTGCCTTCCGTTGCTGATGCGGTGGATGTGATGATGCTTGGAGCCCGCCTCGCCAGCTCTGCATCGCTTGCTGTCCCTCCAGCCTAGGCTAACTTTCGTTCCCCCTGGACCCTCAAGTGTTACTCACTTGAACATCTGTGGCTTGAAGACACTGTAGTCGAAGCATCTGCATTTCAACATCTGATTTGCAACCTTGTAACAATGACTTGCCGAACGATGTTCTGGGGGTTTTAAGCAGACACAGCCTGCTGTGCAGTTTGCTTCAGGCTCGCCAAACCCGGCACAAAGACAGTGAATGTGGACCTGGACGAGGCATGGCTGAGAGCCAGCTTGTTCACTGCCAGCGCAACAGGCGGGTCTTACTGGAAAACAGTGGAGGCCGAAGCGAAGCAACTTTTTGCCAACATGGTCTCGTCGATGCTTTCCCTGCAACTTGGAAGCATCCACCCAGATGAAGCAGTCCTTGCCGAGGGATGCATTTTTCCATGCAAACCTGTGGCAGACAATGACCAGGTTCACGCATGGCGTGCCAGATGCCCAGGGACCAAACTGCTGGCCTGTGCAGACTTGCGGACTGTCTGAGGCTTGCAGATGAGCTGGCCTTTGCCTTTCTGGTCATCAAAGAGGATCTTGCACAGGGCTTGCATACACACACACACACAAAGGACACACACACACACAAAGGACACACAGAGACACGCACGCAACATGCTGGCAGGACAGCGTTCCACTGTTCTGGCTGTTCGCGGTCTTCGTCGTATTCTCTGGGATCACCCTGCTCAACATGCTTATAGGCGTGCTGTGCCAGGCCATCAACCGAAGCGTGATGTGTACCTACTCGCAAGAAGCAGTCTATTTCAATCTGCCCTTTTCACTGGTGCATTGGTTGCAACCGCGCGGGCACCTGCAGGTGGTGGCGGACAACTCGCGCGAGCATGAAAAGAACCAAATATTGGTGGATCTCAAATCGAGCTTGGAAGATGCATTTGAGGCAGCTTGCGATTAGCCCCTCAATCCTTCAAGCATCGCGACATGCTCATACACGCATGAGCCACCGACACACATATCATATAGATTTATGTTTGGGCATGTTAAACAACAAGACAGACACATACACTGTATATAAGAGCACATATATGATACAAGATGCAATAAATAAATCAGTAAACAAATATATTCATAATATATATATGTATATATGTATATATGTACATATATATATATGTTATATGTGTACTGTTGCATTGTAATACATTCTGCATTGGCATTGGGTTTTTATGGTACATTATCAGTTATGTAATATGTGCTATATATACATATACACACATGTGATACATACATACATACATACATATATATATATATTTATTTAACATTTCGTCTTATACTATAAGCTGTATATACATTGTATCATGTATTATGTATCACTTATTCGATGATAGAACTTTCATATCACATCTAGTGTTATATCCAATGCACTGTATTTGCATATATATATATAAGAATAAATAAATAAATATAGAGATACGTATCAAAGGCTTTCTCGAATTCGTTATAGATACATACATATATGTATGTTAAGCAAGCACGGTGTGACAAGCAAAAAGTGGACCTTGGAACGTCTACAAAGTCTAACAGACGTAAGAACAAGTTGGCGTCACATTAAGTTCGAGAAGAAAGCCTTCACACCCAACTTCTATAATGTGCAAGGCATTCACGGCAACCGCGCACCTATCAGCAAGAAAACCACACATTAGCGCAGTACCTGTACGAAAATCAGTGGGTGCATATGTCTACCCCGAAACCTGTAGAAGTACATCGGCGTCAAACTATTCAAACGAATCTAAACATGAAAATCACGGACTTGTCGACTGATGATAGGTTAGCGCAGCCATACGATCATTAAATACTAACAAAGCCCTTGGAGCTGATGGTGCAACCGCAGAATTGTTCAAATATCTTAATGCGGAATATGTTGAGAGCCTCATAAACTGTTTAACTTCCCTGCGGGCTTCAAAGTATGTTCCAGATGCTCTCGTTGATGCACACGTAGCCCCCATATACATTTAATGGAACCACGATAATCCTGAAAACTACAGACCTATATTATTATTAAATACGTCGCGCAGAGTTTCTGCGTATATGCTGAAGACATGTAAAGCAGATGCCACTGAGTTAAAGAATTGGAGTACAAAATTCGGATTCAGGAAAGGGAAATCCACAGCAGAAGATTTGTTTTGTGTGAGGAGCTAAACGGACGTCGTTGAACAAAGACATGAACAGTTATTCGTAGTCTTTCTTGACTGGGAAAAAGCTTTCGCAAAATATACCATGAACAAATGTTTCAATCGCTCAAGCGGCTCCACATACCCGATGGAATCCTAGACGCCATGAAGTCAACCGAAGGCCATTGCTCATCACTGTTCCAGGTCACCCACAAAACAACAAAGCGATTGGCATACCCAACGTACGAGCATGCGTCAAGGATGCCCCTTAAGCCCATATCTATTCATTTTATCTATGCACGTCATGTTTTCTGACGTCAAGGACAAATTCAGGCGTCGCACAATATTTCAGGGAAAAGAAACTTCCTGTGCGCAGATGATACACTCATAGTGGCTAAGTGCCGCAAATCCGTAAATGACTATTTTCGACTTGATGGAAGAAGATGAATCAGAGTATCTCCACTTGAAATCAAAGCATATGAAGTGCTGTTACATTGCCTATAACTGTGGAGGTGCAGCTCGGTTCAATAACTGAGAAAATGAAGAACGCTGAGGAAACTACTTGTCTAGGACTCCGTCACAAAAACAGTGGACTCGATGCACCAATTCATCAAACACAGCTGAATATGTGTACCGGAGAGCAACCGAAGTTGTGAATGCACCAACGGAAGGAGATGATCGAAGAATCAAACCGTTAACTGAAGTTCTGGAACAATGCCGCCTAGAATTGCTAGATCATGTGCTTCGTAGGGAAAGACAGCATCCGATGCATCCATCAGCATTCAAGACGCAAGCTGCCACACCCAGAAAAACCGAGCAGTGCAGGGTTGGTTGGATTGAGCCAGCGCGAAGATATCTCCCGCCGTTCAATTAGGAAATCATACAGACGGCTTTTCGCTCAGTGTGAAAAATCTCAGAGTGAAGAAACTCGGTGTGAAGCAACTCAGTGTGAAGCACCGCTTTCGTGAAGCAACGTGGAATAACCGTGGATGCATGAAAGATGTAACAACCAGAGATATGAAACATGAGACCTCAGTGTGACCTGCTCAGTTTGAGGAGCGCTGAATCATTTCTACCTGAGGATTCCTGCGTGAAAGAACATAGTGACATAATGTTCAGCGGTCGTATAAGAATTGACGCGGAGTAAGCTGTAGCATGTATAAGGAAGTAGGCTAGCACCGACGACTTGCGCACTCGTTTGACTGCAAGTTAAGTTTAAAGAATATGCATGCTTTGACCAAATATGTTTATATATGTAGATGTGTGTATGTGCACTTCTATGACTGTTATTATTATCGTGTTTTTGCCTCCTGTCCTTCCATTTTCTTTTCCATAACAGAATAAATTATAGATTTGGCCTAGTATAGCTTACAGATCAAATGACATTGATATCATATGGTGTGTCATGTATTTCGGTATCGTTTATGTTCTGGTTTAGCAAAAGCAAAAGGATTTTTGGTCATTCTATGTTACATGTAGTGTTTTACATCTGAAGATACTGACATACATTGTAATGTATCATGTTTAAAAACCCCTGTTATAACATATCATATCATATCATGCTATTTTATAGTGTGTTTTTTTGTATTTGCTGATGTGACGTCATCTAATGTATCTGACATTCTGTTTGTTATGCTATATCAGGTTGTATTATATGTCGTGATATGAAGCATGTTTTATTATGCTACGTTATGTTTGTAGTGTTGTTTTATGCTATGTTGCATTGTAATGCAATGTGTTTTTCATATCGTATTGTATTGTCTCGTGTTATATTTGTTACACAAAATCATTACATATCCTACAATATCTTGCTACATGCATAGTTCAGCGCAAAAAACAACACACACATGCAGATATGTATATGAGCAGATGCATATACATATATATATATACATATATATATATACATATATATATATGTACATACACACATTAACATGCACATACATGCTCACACATTCATACATAATAATAAACGTGGAAACATGCACATCTGTGATTAACCTAATCAGCGAATGAACACAAAGAACGAGCAAACTACGAACCAGATAGTGAACCATATCAGGTTTTATCCCTGGGGCATGACTTGCCGACATACAATCATCGGCAGGTGCACCTATAGGTGGAGAAAAAGAGAAGCAGATCGCACAAGCTTCTGTTGTAGTAAATGCGAACTGATGTATCTTGTTGGAGTACATATATACACAGTTGCACATTTGTATGTATGTATGCATGTATGTACTTATGTATAAGTATACATGTATACATACAAAAATAAGTGAATAAAACAATATATATATATACTTACATACATATGCATATGTATGCATGCAATTTCCCATCTGTGTGTGCTTGTCTATTAATTATCTAAGTATCTGTCTATTCTTATTTTATTTGATCTTGCCATCTCCTTACTAATGATGCCTGTTTGCTTGTGTTGCGACATGTTGCACTGTATCCTCGTCTGGCTTTGTGTGATGTCTGCTGTGACAACATCTGTGAAGCGATCTCAACTTGTTCCAAAGCAAGTCGTGTCAGCTCGTCAGGCCTTGGATACCTCTCAAGATGGAATCATCAGCGACTTGCTTGACTCGTCAAGTGCCATTTCCGGTCAGAGCTGCTCGTAACTACGAATCTCCATGGTGCTACATCTCTGGTTGCGGTGCTCCTTGGTTCTCAGGTGAAGAGGAGTTTAAACAGATGAAGACGGATCCCAATGTCATGGAGATCTTCTTTCGGCCATTTGGTAACTGTAGAGCACACTGCAGGGGCTCAGAAACCTTTGATTCCTGCCTCAAGCTGAGGCTGGGCATGGAAGAGTCCGCGATCATCCAGCGATTAGATCACATGCAGGCAGGCCCGGGGAGCACAGCAGGTTTCAAGACGACTGCCACGTGTTTGCATCTGGGTAGCTGTGTTCACATCAGCCTGGCATTGCTTCCGCTTGCCTCGAGGAGACAATCTTCGCTGTTGCCAAGAGCGATAATGCGGACGAGTCCTTCCTTACCGATTCGAAGGATCCAGCCTCCAGGAGGCCGCCCGGGGCTGTGCTGTGATAAATTATTGTTGGAAGATCTTCTGCAGTACTGACCCTTACTAAGTGTCAAAAGAGATCAGCCCAAAGCACGTTTCTGTTGGGGTTGCAGAAGCCAGGTGATCAACTTCACTTCACAATCGTGCCCGCGGTACGACCGTGTATGCTAGCCCCCAAGAGATCTATCCCTGAAATATCGAAGGTGTTTCGCTCAAGCAAACGTCGAAGGGGTTTGCTATGTGATTGAGGGCTGGATATGGCCGTGGCCATTTCGGCTAAAAGGCCTCCTAACGGGAGGCTAGTTTGAAGAGGTCTAGGGGGAAGGGGAACGGGGCTAACAGCTCCGCTTTGTCGCTATGTCGGAAGGAAGCCTGACGGAAGTCGCGCCAAACAGTCCCCCGTTTTGGCCAAGCTACAAGGAAGACAGAGAGCAGCTAACCTGCTAGTGGGGAGGACGAGAGCAAGTACCCTCAAAAACTACCTCACCTACTAAGCTATTCTACGACTACCCCCAGGCAGCCCAGCTGATCTGGTGGATTACCTGCTAAGCCGCAGAGACGAACCTTGCCGGAGGACAGTACCAGACGCCCTGCTAAAAGCTATCTCCTGGGTCGGGAACGTGGCCGAGTTCCGTTTGAAGCAGAGAGCTACGAACAGGTGTTTGGCTTGGACCGTTAAGGATCGAATAGTGGAAGAGCTGTCCGACAGAGCCCTTCCCAGCTAGAGAAGGTAAGGTGGTGATGGACACCATGCAGCTAGTGGGGCTATGCATCTGGGCATGGAGCAAGTTACCTCCTAACGGGAGGCTATTTTGAAGAGCCCGCCCGTCCCACCCTGGAGATTGGCTTGCGAAGATAGCTAGGGACCTTCTCCGGGCTAACAGGGACCCGGTCCACATCTTGAACCAAAAAGCGTCTGCCAGCCAGTGCAGCTTTGCAATTGTTTCTCTTTCTCGCTAGCCCTAATTAACCGGTGGTGTTTTGGGGTGGTGGCGGCATGATCGTTAGGGCTAGTATACCAGTTTTTTTGACAAAACTATTGTTTGGAGCATCCACTTCGTTCCCAGGCCTCCGAGCATGTCCTTCAAGCAGTTTACGGATCAGGCACATGCAAGTATGCCGCATGTGTTCCTGGGTGCTTAACGAGAAGAGAGAATTCGGAGTGCTATTGTCAGGTCGTCGACTTGCAAATGAACACATCTGCAGGGGTGTCTGTCTCGGCACGAGTCGAGTGCATTGATGTTGATGGTTCGACTGGCTCTAGTAGATCCAATGCATCAGATTTGACGACTGCTGTTTCTGGACTGTTCCGCTGAGGTGCTGGATGTTCAATCCGTGGCGGCCAAGGCAAGGGCCCAAGGTGACGTTCGAAAGTCTTTCGATTCAAGTTGTACTTGGTGCCACTGTCTGGCAAGACAAAATTTAAACGACATGTGACATGGCACGACTGGGAAGAAGATGCTTGTGGTGGTGCTGTTGGTGCTAAGACGTCATTGCTTAGGGAGCTTAATACCTAACGTGGGTGACCCCTGAGTCCTTTCTGAGTGTCTGCGAAAACAGAGGAGCTGCATGGTATTCCATGATCTCTGTCTATCCATCTGTTTCTCTTTCTCTACATTTCTCACTCTTTCGATCTCTCTTTTCTGCCTTGCTTTCTCGTTTAGCTCAGGTTCGTGCAGAGGACCAGAAAATCTTGCGACTGGGGAGAAATTCATGCGCCGTCAGATCCGTTTCGCTTGCACAAAGCTGGAGTCCCCAAGTGAGCTGAGGACGGCGCTGAGCCGTTTGGAGCCGGACCTGCGCCGCCTTCTTCAAGCGCCCATGGACGCCCAGGCACACCAACGTCTGATGCCCGAGCCGACTGCCTCTGTCGGCCGGAGTAGGCCCTGCGCTTTCTCGGTTCGGCATCTCTTGTCTCACAGCTCGCCGCATTCGCCGCCTCTCGGGCGTTTCCAGGAGGCAAAGACCTTGTCTTCCTCGAGAATACAGACGCTGAACCTCGCGGGAGAGGACTGTGTTGGAGTCTAGTGTCCAGCTCCAGATTGTTCCAGATTGTGCTTAGCTGGGATTGGCAGGACTCTACATCCGTGAGACCACAGTCTACTCATGCGGCGTGTCCGGGCCAGGCGGAAGCACAAAAAATGTGTGATGATTACAGCGACCAAGCATCGCTCGTGCCAGGCTTCCCAAGCATCGCCGGCTCCACGCGCAGAGCCACTGCCCGACCAGTCCGTGGCAGCCCGAGAGGGTCCAGAACGCGCTGGTCGCGGATTGGGCCTCTCGGATCCCAGGTTCATCTTCCGGGATCACTGGAAAGCCGAGGGCTCCAAGCCGAGACGAAGGCGGTACCACGTGTTGCATGCATTGGTGTCAGCGTACCGATGGATCTTGATTGCAACGGCACGCTTGCGGCTGCAGGAGCTTCAAGGGGGGTGATGGAACGAAATGAACCGTTACACATCAGTACGTATGACAAAATGACGGATCTGAAGGAAGGTAACGTAGGTTGTGCCCCAAAAATGGCAGCAGCGGTTTTTGTGCTACGAGCTATTGCCTGAGGGGACGAAATACAGAAGCAAAATCGGGAAGCGAAGCTGCCCTCCTTTTTGCGGTCGATATCCAGAAATGTCGCTTAGGGTTTAAGGTCTGCTGCTTATCATTTTGTTAAAAAAAAGTTGTCGACCATCAACCCCCATTGGATCCGGATCCATTAACCGTGTTTAGGGTTTCAAGTTTCTGCCCATCATATCTTGTGAGGTTTTGGGGCTTCCCTGCCCATCAACTGTTAGATTTCGGGGTTCCCGGAGTTCAGCCGTTTAGGGTTTGAGGGTTTTGGCTCTGCCACCCATCAACTACTGTTCGATTCTGGCGTTCGCGGGATCCAGCAAACTTTCAGGCTTACTCATCATCTCTTTTGAGGGTTTGCCAACCCATCAGCCACTACTAGAATTTTTGGGTTCTCGGGATCCAGTAATCCTGTTTTTTGGGTTTAAGGTCTACACACCAACTCTTTTGAGGTTTTTGGGCTTGTCACCCATCAGCGCCGGGTAGCTTTTGCGTTTCTCGGGTCCAGTAACACCGTTTTGGCTTTAAGGTTTACGGTTACCCATCATCTCCCCACCCATCAACGCCCTATTCGATTTTGGGGTTCCGGGATCCAGCGCAAACCCGTTTAGGGTTTAAAGTCTACCCTTCAGCGTTTGTTCAGTTTTTTTGGCTTTGCCAACCCATCAGCCACAAGTGAATTTGGGGGTTCTTAGGGTTTAAGGTCTAGCCACCAACTGTTTGAGCGTTTTGGGCTGACACCCATCAACTCTTGTTTTAAACCATCATGTCTTCGCCCACACCCTCAGCGGCGACGGCTCCACCCACAAAGGCATCACTACCAGACTCGCCAAAGCCTGCAAACACTTCCACACCCTTCACCAATTTTGGTGGAACGCTGGCCTCACGTAGTGGAAGCTGCGTATCCACAACGCGGTTTCATTCTACTCGTGATCAAACGGCCTGGAGTCAGCAGCGCTCACCAGCAGTGACTACAATCGGCTTGAAGCTTTCCACTCACAAAGCTTGAGAAAGATATTGCACCTCAAAGGCACATACTACACCGAAATCCTTGAGCCAACAGCCCGCACGTACCCGGACCAGGAAGTTCGCTTCCTCATAGGACAACCTCCCATCACCCATCACATCCACAACAGCACAGCTTAAAATTTTTGGGCACGGCTTTTAATGTACGCGACTCCCCCTCTCACAGCCCTACCTTCCCCTGCGCATATCTACAGACTCGCAGACTAGCTGTAGACCGCCACTCTGGAGCCGACTAGTGAGGCTGCCAACGTGCAAGACGCTCTTCACGGCTTGCTCCTTTCAGGTGTATTCACAGACATGATGTACATGCTTGGAGTCGTGCTGCGAGTGAGCTGCATAAGGCCGCCCAAGAAAAAGTCTTCACCCACTAACCCCTGTTCGATTTTGGGGCCCCCGGGATCCGGCAAACCCGTTTAGGGTTTAAGGTCTACCCATCATCTCTGTCTTGTGCACCACTCAACTACTATTAAAGTTTGGGTTCTCGGGCTCCAGCAGCCCCGTTTGGTTTAAGGTGTATCCACCGGCTTTTTTGAGGTTTTTGGGCTTGTCACCCGCCAACCCCTTTGAGATGTTGCCATTCATTTAGGGTGTGAGGTCTACCCATCATCTCTTCACCCATCAAACAGTGTTGGATTTTGGGGTTCACGGGATCCAGCAGACCCGTTTCGGGTTTAAGGTCTACTCATCATCTCCTTGGAGGGTTTTGGCTTTGCCAGCCATCAACCACTATTGAATTTTGGGGTTCTCGGGATCCAGTAATACCGTAAGGGGATTAAGGTCTACCCAATAGATTTTGCGTTTCTTGGGATGCAGCAACACGGTTCTGGGTTTAAAGTGTACCCATCGTCTCAACCCTCATTTGATTTTGGGGTTCCGGGATCCAGCAAACCCGTCTGGGGTTTAAGGTCTACCCGTCATATTTGGCTATTTGGCTTTGCCAACCCATCAGCCACTCCTAGATTTTTTTCGGATTTTCGGGATCCAGTAACACCGTTTAGGGTTTAAGGTCTACACACCAACTCTTTTGAGGTTTTTGGGCTTGTCACCCATCAACCCGTGCTTTAAGCCATCATGTCTTCACCCACACCCTCAGCAGCGACGGCTCCACCCACAAAGGCATCACCACCAAACTCGCCAAAACCTACAAACATTTCCACGCCCTTCACCAATTTTGGCGAAACACTGACCTCACGTAGTGGAAGCTGCGCATCTACAACGTAGGTCACGAGTCAGCAGCGCTTACCAGCAGTGACTACTTGAAGCTTTCCACTCACAAAGCTTGAGAAAGATATTGCACCTCAAAGGCACATACTACACCGAAATCCTTGAGCCAACAGCCCGCACGTACCCGAACCAGGAAGTTCGCTTCCTCATAGAACAACCTCCCATCACCCACCACATCCACAACAGCACAGCTTAAAGTTTTGGGGCACATTCTCAGATCCCATCCGACGGAACTGTTGTTAGTACAACAGGGGTGCAAAGAGGAGCGGGCCTCAGGGTCACTTGGGCCGGCAGGGTACCAGACTTACATGGCACTGGCTGTTCAAAGCCCGTGTCTCGGCCACCCTCACGGCTTGCTCCTTTCAGGTGTATTCACAGACATGATGTACATGCTTGGAGTCGTGCTGAGTTGCACAGGGCCGCTCAAAAATGTCTTCATCCACAAACCCCTGTTCGAATTTGGGGCTGCGGGGATCTAGCAAACCTCTTTTGGGGGCTCTGGCTTTGTCAGTCAACAACTGCTGTTGATTTTTGGGGTTCCCCGGATCCAATAACACCGTTTAGGGTTTAAGTTCTACCAACCAGCTTTTTGGAGGCTTTTGGGCTTGTCACCCATCAACCCCTGTTAGATTTTGCCAATGGTTTAGGGTTGGAGGTGTGCCCGTCATCTCTTCACCCATCAACCCCGGTACGATTTGGGCGTTCTCGGGGTTGAGGTCTGCCCCATCATCGCTTTTTGAGGGTTCTGGCATTGCCAGCCAATAACTGTTGTTGGATTCCCGGAATCCAGTAACACCGTTTAGGGTTTAAGTTCTACCAACCGGCTTTTTGGAGGCTTTTGGGCTTGTCACCCATCAACCCCTGGTAGATTTTGCCTATGGTTTAGGGTAGGAAGTGTGCCCGTCCATCAACCCCGGTTCGATTTGGGCGTTCTCGGGGTCCCGCCAACGCGTTTTGGGTTTGAGGTCTGCCCCATCATCTCTTTTTTGAGGGTTCTGGCTTTGCCAGCCAAGAACTGCTATTGGATTCCCGGAATCCAGTAACACCGTTTAGGGTTTAAGTTCTACCAGCCAGCTTTTTGGAGGCTTTTGGGCTTGTCACCCCGTGTAGATTTTCCAATTCCCGGCATCCAGAAACACCGTTTAGGGCTGAAAGTTTATTGCCCATTGCATGTAATAGGCACAGCGCGATTGCTTGCTGAAGTAGTGTGCCTAGGCTGCCCTGAGGTGTGGTGCTGCTTCATGCATGTTTTAAGCTTTTGAGGTCTTTGGGCTTACACCCACCACCCCCTGTCAGATTGTGGGGTTCTCGGCTCAGTGTTTGCGGTCCATGGTCTTTTTTGAGAAGGGTTTGGGGTGTTGGTGCCGAGTAACCTTGCATCGGGTTTGGTTTTGGCAGTTCGGAACTCATCATCTCTGTCTGACGTGTCTGGGCTTCTTGGGAACCAACTGTCCCTTTTGAAATTCTGTTTGCTGAGCCAGCCACTCCTCTTACGGTTGCCGGTCCGCCACTTATGATATGTTTTGAGTTTGAGGGGCTTTGGATCCCTGTCTTCCGAACCCCTCACTTCTTTTGTGAGTTTTTGGGGTCTTTGGCCAAGGCCAGGAGCCAATCATCTCCAGGGCCCCAGGGCTTAGCATGTGCAGCCCATGTACTCTTCGTGGCGATGTCGTATTTATTCAGGTTGTGGGTGTCGGAAGCCCGGTCAACCCTGGTATGAATTGGGTTTGCCACCCATCATCTCCCTGTTGAAGTTTAGGTTTGGGGGGTCCATTATCTTTTGTTATGGTGTGTAAGTTTAAGAACTACTGACCACGTGGGGTTGCTACCCATCATGCCCTCCCGAGTTCTGGGACTTTGGAGAAGGAGTATCGCATTTTGAGACAATCCGATGTTTTTTACGACAAGCATGGCGAAGCTGCAAAACAGACTGAACGAAAAGACAATGAACCAGGGAGCTGATGCCAGAGAGGGCCACGCGAGCCAAGAATCCAGGAACCCAGCAACACCGAATGTTTAGAGGAAAGCGCAACAACCCACGAAGTCACAAAGCCAAGAAAGCAGAAAGTCACGAAGCGAGAAGTCACGGGGCCCTTCAACTCAGGGCCATGTTCTCATGCATCAAAAAAATTCTGTTGGGCAGGTGCCAGAGCAGGCCTCGGATAAGGAAGCTCCCGAGCTGAGAGAAGATTGGCTTCAGGAGGCTCCCGTGTTTTGGAAATATGTAGAGGTCCCCACCTCGCACCGCCTGAAGACCGGTTGCAGGTGCCCACTGAGCTGCTTCTCTACATACTGAAAGCAAGAGCCGGGCCAGACATGATCTCATGAGCACGAGGCTGGAGAGGAAGGTTCTGGGTCTGGTATACATACAGTATACGGTCCCAGCCAGAGACCGCAGCAACCTCAGAACTGCATACACAAGGGATGTTTTGAAACCATGCAGACAGCAGAGTTGCGGATGTGTGATGCCCCGTAGGCATCCGGTAGGCATGCTGAACTCTTTTCGGATTGCGGTTTACCTTGCAAAGCCTCGGTGCGCATGTTGGATAATGTTTTTGAGACGAAGACGCCGACAAAAGGGATGTGAGTCCCCTCGTCTTCGATCGGACCCAAGCAATGGCTATGGAGAGGTGCTCTCTCTCTCTCGCCGGTCCGTGCGAATATGTCTCTGATTTGCGAACCCAGTTCCTTGCGAGGCTGGGCTTGAGCAAGCAGAATCCAGCCCAGTCGTTAGGCAGGGATGTTCGCGTCAGATGCTAACATTTGCCATCTCCTCTAGTGCGGAGGTTGATCTCACACAGGTCTCACCGTGTTTGCAGAAATGGCTTGGTGAAGACAGCACGTCGAGGTCTGCAAGCTTGCATCATAGATAAGTATCCGAGAGATCATCGCGTGATGTCTTCACACAGTCCGAGTCGTTTGAGAGAGGTGCAGCTTTACCGGCTCCCACAAGTTTCGGACGCACCTCCAGTATCTGAGTAGGACACCAGGGCTTCCGTCGCAGGGCACAGGATCCGTGTTGCCATGCTGTCTGATTTCGTACGGCTTGCTGATGTTGCCCTGTGAACACTTATTTAGCGCAAGTGGATGCCTCCACTTATTCCTGCGGCTCCTCTCAGGAGAAGCCGTGCCTTCTGCACGAAGTGCAGGAAGGAGCAAGCCGAGGGCGTGCATGCAAACGAAAAACGCCCCACGGTGCGGGTACCGAGTAGCCAGTTGAAGAACACGCGGAGTCGGGGCCAAAAAGTTGGGGCTCAAGCTGAGAAGCTGAGCTCACCCGGAGAGGTAGGCGGGCCTCGCTTCTGAAGTGAAAGGAAGGCTCGGATTCGGACTGTACATTCAGATCCGCGGACGCTGTCTGACCTTCAGGATGCGGCTGACACTCGAGCTGCTGCAGCAGGCGCCGCAGTCGCTGAACCCTGCACTGCACCGGCAGCTGCTGCTTAGAGGCTTCAAGTGGCTTGGAAGCACGTGGTGTTTCATCTGCAGCTTGCACGCAGACTGTTTCATTTCATGTTTCCTCAGGATCCCCACCATCGCGACTTGGCTGAGTGGGTAGGATGTGGCAGCCTGCAGAAGTATCTCCTAGTGGCTTAGGAAAATCTGGGTGGCACAGATGATGCTTATGAGTTGCTGCCTTACACAGCACAACTACAGCCCAGATTTGCAAGACTATCCGTATCTTGGCAGGTGTCTGGACTTTTCAGACAACGATCTCATCAAACTGGGGAACTTCCCACCGTTAAAGAGGTCGGGATCTTGTTTCCATCGTCACCAGTCAATGTCGAGCACGAGCTTGCGTCTTGCGCTGAGATTACGCGTTCTGATGCTGATGAACAACAGGCGTTGTGCCGGATGCGTTTGATACCAGACGTCAGCTGTGATGAATTTATGTCTGCATGCGGCGCAAGCAGGATTAGCCGAATTGCGCCGGACTGTGACCGGCCAGCAGATAATCGATGCGTGCAGAGGGTAGATGTGATGGCACAGACTGTGCCTGGACGCCATGTCCGAGGCTTCGATCCGATACCCAACATTGTCAGCCTGGTGCTGACAGGCTGGATCTTCGGGCCTCTGCTCTTTTCCTTTGCAGAGTGCGGTTTGCGCTCACCGTCCACGACTCTGGTTGATTGTGGCTCCGAGAGAGAGACATGGCAGCGTCGGTCGTCCTGTCAGTGGCCATCAAACTTGTTCGCCTCGATGATCCTGCATGGCCATCACTCTCTCCTCTGCATCCTGCCCCTCTTCAATGCCCAAAGAAGTCCCCTGTTGTGCTGCTTTTTGAGAGATTCGACATGGCTGGGCTTCTTTGCGAAAAGAATCTGAAAACCAGCATCGGCCGCTTGGGGGGCTGAAGGATCCGGCATGAGCGAAGTGCTTACATTTTTCCTGTTCAGGCAACAAGTTGGAGAAGTAACTCGGCTTCCATTTCGAACCCAGATTGCAGGCCTCCACCATCCTGCTTCGCAAGGCTTGTAGACCTGGAGCCCATCACGCAGCTCAAAAACCTGGAGCGTCTAAGCCTCATGGACAACCCAGTCACCAAGGCCACATGCCCTTTTGAGTTCAATAAAGGAGTGCTAGCGCGGCCATGGCATTGCAGGTGAAGCATTTCCGGCCGTACATGATCCACAAGAGCTCGAAAACGCTGAGGCTCTTGCTTTGGCCCATGTCCCCAGTGGTAACCCACTCAGAGCTTCTTGGGAGGATTTTAGACTTCAACCGCATCAAGGACAAGGAGAGGAAGGCGCTCTTCGGGTGCGAAAGCTCCCTGTATTCTCCTGTCGAACTGGAAGCGCCGAGTGCAACAGCGCAGGCAGCAACGCTGCTGTTCGCGGGCGAGCGTGGCAAGAAGCTGTTGGAGGTGCGGCGCATTCTCTTTCTGAAGCATTACAGGGCACAGCCTGCGAGCCGCCAAAGCCCACCAGGAGATTGCTCCGCCCCGTGTGGTGGGCAAGGAGCCCACGGAGAAGGCCAGAGGAAGACATGTGAAGATGCCAGAGCCAAGGCCTTTTTTAGCTGCGCCAGATCTCAGAGCCATCCAGGTCTCTGACGTCTCCAAATCCGGTCCATCCCCCGAAGTCATCGCCAATCAGCTGAAATAAACAGGTTGTCAGATAAGTCTTCAGGGATAATGGTCTCGTTACCTGCTGGCAGCGTGCGGTTGAGAGGATTACATTCCTTTCGGTCGCTGATGCCTATCTGTTCTGCGTGATTTTGCTTTAATCTGAGGAGCGCATCAAGAAGGCCATCGCTGAAGCCGAGACCATCGAGGAGGTCACGCGCCTCGAGAAGGCACCAAGGGCAGGCAAAAGCCGCAGAGTTCGTTGCGAAGCCAGTTGCGCCTTTTGGAGGCCCTGAAGAGCGGTGTCCTGCCTGACGACCTCAAGGAGCCAGGCCGGAAGAAGCCGCTTTACAAGAGAGGTCTGGGCAGCAAAAGACGGCCCCCAAAACGAAGGAAATTGGGGAAAAAAGGGATGGACTAAAAGGTCCTTGTGCCTTGCCGCCTTGCCCTTGCCTGTGTTGGAGGCACCGAGGGCCCCGAGGCCGCACCGGGCCTGGAAGGCGCCGGAGGCGCTCCCGACAGCTAGCCAAGCGTAAAGCGTAAAGGGCGCCTCGGAGTTTTTCTCTCCTTTTGGGAGCTACTAAAGAGCCATCTCTCTCTTCTGAGGAGCGGCTAAGAAGGGGTTTCATTCTCTCTTTGTGCTTCGGTCCGGCAGGTCCGGAGCCGATGGCAGAGGGATGAGAGGGGATTGCGGGGGGCCCTGAGTGGAGATGCATTGCACGGGAGAAAGTTAAAAGGCAGCCGCAGTCCCATCGGAAATGGAGATCTCTGCAGAGTCTCTCTCTCAAGACTAGAGATTTCCTTGGGGGAGTCTTTTGGTCCCACCTGCGAGGTAGGCCCAAGGCCTAGAGGCGCAGCAAACCCCGGTGTATCCGAGCGTCCTGATGTCTGGGGAGTCTTCGGAATCCTGGAACAAGGCCTCCGAGAGCTATGCGCCCTTTGAAGCGTATACGGGCCAATTCACCCGCGCAGCAGCCACGGCGCTCCCGGGCTTGCTGCCCGAAATTTCCGGGAAGCTCCAGATCATGGACGCGGCTGCCGGGACGGGTGCATCCACCTTTGCCTTGTGCAAGGCACTCAGCGACCATTGCAAGGGAAAGGGGTCGACAGCGGAAGTTATTGCCACTGACTTCAGCGAAGCCATGTTGAAACAACTGGCGGAGAAGCTCACATCGTCCAGTGCGGACCCGGAGGTGAAGGCCACGCAGGCGGCAGAAGAGGCAGGTTTGCTAAAGGTCACTTCCCAAGTCGCAGACGCACAGGACCTCTCTGCTTTTGCTGAGGGAGCCTTTGATGCGATCACGTGCTCGTTTGGGATAATGTTTCCCCCATCTCCGGACAAAGTCGTTCGAGAGTTCTGGCGCTTGCTGAAGCCCGGTGGAGTCGCTATCGTTACGACTTGGCACTACAACAACATACCAGAATCGATCATGTCTGACTTGGCACATGTCTTCAAATGCCACGGTCGCTTCGAGGACGTGCCACTCGTGGTAGCTTTGCAGAAGTTCTCAAGCGAGGGCTTCATGCGGCGCTTGTTTCGTGGAGAGTTAGGGGACGGACCCCTTTGGAAGAACTGCGACCTCGAAGCTAGATTCTTTTCCGGCTCTTCTAAATGCTTGCCAAGGCATCTGGCTGCTGGGTTGAACAAGAATCCTGTCACCTCTGACTTGGGCCACTGGGACGAAGAGGCGGCTGAGAAGTATATGTCGGATCACTGGACAGAAGCAGATGGACAAATCACACTGCAAGGAACAGCGCTGGTCCTTATTGCAAGAAAACCAAAAGCACCGACCCCTTGAGGGCTAGATCTCGCATACTCTAGACTGAGAGTGAGGGGTTGGCATCGAACTTGCGATAATGCAAGTCGTTTTCGTCAGGCAAGCTTGAGCCTGATAAAACACTGTCAGTGGTGAACAGAGTGCAGGTGAAAAAGCATTCGGAGGCTTCAGATGGGGAAGTTCTCCTATAGTAGTTGAAGAAGGGCGGAATGTCGGAATGTCGGGGTCAGCCAGGTAGAGATGCAGCTTGAAGCGGCTACCGCTGGTGGTGGATACGGTGCACGAAACTCCTTTATGCCGAATCTCCCTGCTGTCTTTTTCAGAGCACTTCAGATAGGATAGGCATGCGTCTCTGCGCACTATCTCTTTGAATTGCATTGCTTGTCATGAGGTTCTGCATTTGCAAGGGTTGACGTGATTGTACTGTACTCGGACGGGAGCCATCTGCCACGACCTCCTTGCAAGCACTACCTAGTTGTGTCTTTTCAGAACTTGCATGATGTGCGTCAGGTCTCAGCAATCCTTTGCTCTGCTCAGGGAGCGTGCAGTCTTGAGAGGGAGGGAGAGAGACAATGGCTGTCAGATAGGGATTCTTGCGTGTTGACGCTTCACTATCAAAGTCACAGTGCTGAGGCTGGACGGGCTCGCGATCTTGATGCAGCACATGGCAAAAAAACGACATTGCCTTCTGCAGCAAAATAGGAGACAGCGACATAGTCAAGCAGTCGAGATGCCTCTGCGAGCCTGGGTACCCAAGAATGGCCTGTTCAGCAGCGGTGTCCTGGAAGCCCACTCCTGCCAAGTTCTGACTCAATGGATTGTTGCAGCTCCCTTTGCTTCGAGACAGCCTCGCATGATCCGAAGTTCAAAGCTGATGCAAGGTGACAATTGAAACCTTCGAAGCTCTGCCCGAAGCTCCCATTTGAAGTTTCTTATCAAAGCAGCCATACTGCGATGCCTCGTGTTCGCACTCGTGCCAACCGAGCCGGCAGCGGCCTTCTGCGCTGGGCTGCTTCAGCAAGGGTCTCAGCATGCTCAGTTGGACTTTCTCGCAGCTCTAATGAAAAAAGAACATGTCGATTGTCCACTGGAGGGCTGGTTTTTAGTTTGCCGCGACAGGCGGCCGTGGTGCTTTCGGCTTGTTCGATGGCCCAGCTTTGCTGCTGGGCTGCGATAACCCGTCTTGGGGCACCTGCAATCAAGCACTGAAAACAGAACTGACCAATCGGGATAGGATTTGTGCATAGGAGGTCGCTGTCAGCATCCAATGATCAGAGACACCAAGTTGACACCAAGGCTTTCTGCGATCCGTGCGGCGGCTTGCCCCGCAGCGCCATTTGCGCAATGCCAGGCGTGATGTTTTTCGTACGTAAGCTTTCCCTTTCGATGTTCCCCCTATCTCTGTTGAACAGCTACAGGGTTCAGTTGTGCATGCCTGTCTCCCGATCCCCATCCCATCGTGCGCAAGCGTCAGCTAGGCGAAATGCAGCTTCTGCCGTCGCTGAAGTCAACCCCTTGCTGGAGACGAAGGGGCTGCCTCGATTTCAGTCCATCGATGCATGCTGGCCTGAAGATAACTTGCTGTCGTGATATTTCACAGGAGCCTGCTCACTTTTGGGTCGACATGTATGGACATGCTTGACAACACACGGTCCACACTGTGTGCCGAGGTCAAGCATGTGGAGCCAGCAATGGAGGCTATCTTGAAGTCGATGCGTGAGGCTGGAGCCACAGAGAACCCAAGACCTGCCCGTCCAAACCCCGTCAACCGTGGCCTTTCAGGATTTCAAGAGCCTCGAGGACGAGCTCCCTAAGAAAGACCCTGAGTACGAGGGGCTTCTTGGATGGCAGGTCGCTTCGTGAGAGGGGCTGTGTGCGTGTGCTCTCGTCTCCACTGGTGCAGCCAAGGGTGGTGGAATCGCTTGAGAAGCTGCGCCACCCACTCTCCTACAGCTGGGGTGTTGTCAGTCACTTGAACAACGTGACCTGGCAGACACTGCGAGGATGCACACTGGTTGGCGAAACTAGGCCGCACTTCATTCTTCCAGGTGAAAAACTCTGATGCGCTCCGCGAAGTCCACCAAGCAGTCCAGCCGGAGGTAGTCAAGGTGCCCGGGCCGCGTGTGCAAACTCAAGTGCTTCATCTCTTGCTCGATGTGTTGCAGGCGTCCATGGAACTATCACAGAGCCGCGTTGTCTTCGATGCCCTGGGCAGCTTGGAGAAGAGAGTCTTGGTTGCAGTATTTCAGGCACAGCTTCCCTTGTTGGGTTTCTGCAATTTTTGAAGGTGCTCTTCCCGAGTCCCGGCAGCGCATTGTGGAATCGGCTTTGCGCGATATGAGACTGAGCGGCGTGGACCTCGAGGACGGAAATTGAAGGGGTCCAGACACAGACGGTGAAGCGATGTCTTACCGGACGATGTGCATGCAACTCCAGAGGCTCCGTGGGACTCCCTGGATTTGTCGCTGTCCCTGTCCATTTTAACTTGCGAGCCCGACCATTCTTCGTCATTCTTCCGTGGGTGGTGGCACAGTCGGCCACTTGAAACCTTCGGGCGAGAGGCAAGGAGATTTTTTAATAGCGGCTCAGGTGGCCAATCACGAGAGCTCTCCCGGAGCATGCTTCGTTTGTTACTTCACAATGTGAGCCTGGGATGTTAGGGGTAGAGGGGTGTGTGTGTGTGTGTGTGTAACCGCCTGTACATGGCGACTGCAGCGCAACCTTTTTGTCTTCCCGCAGGGGGTAGCGCAAACTCTTTTCCTTCCCGGGGGTAGCGCAACATTTTTCCCTTCCCGCAGGGGGAGCGCAGGGGGACAGGAGCTGATTTGCCTATTCTGTCCAACGAAGCTACGGCAAGTCAATGGATGCACAGCCTGATCAGCTGTGTGTACCTGCATTCGGATTAGCCGGCGGGCCCCCTGTAGCACTGGAGTAACCA